CCAGTTAACCGAACGGTTAAGCGCCCAGTTAACCGGATGGTTAACCGGCGGTTTTAGCGACATGGGACGACTTTCATCATTCGAAAGAGATGATCGATGTATGTCGAAATTCGATTGGCTAACAATTGACCAATCAGATGAGTGCTTGGTGGAGATATTCGAAAATGATATTCTGAAGCTCATTGTCTTTCAGTCTACACAAGATCGACATTCCTAGCTTGTTTCATTTCAGAGTTATAATACTTTTCCTGAAACTCTCGATTTCAATCGATTGATATGTGATCATCTGGAAAAGCAACTAGGCAGGGATAATTGGCCATATCATCATTCGACTCAATATGATCAATTACTTCTGCCTAGCTACTTTTCCGGGTGATCACAAATCAATTGGCTGAAATCGGAGGTCTCAGGAAAAGTCTTATATAACTCTCGAACGAAAAAAGCTAGGAATGTCGACCTTGTGTAGATCAAAAGAGAAAAATTTTTTATCGGCTAGTCGTATTAAAAGTCTAAATCGAAAGGGAGGAAATTAGCTTTAAAATATCATTTTTGATACACTCTTCACCAAGAACTCACCTGATTGGTCAATTACTGACCAATCAAATTTCGATATACTTCGATAGTCCCGAGTCTTTTCTCTTGAATTATGAAAACTTCAGATCTCTATGATGTTTCTATCAAAAGTTATTCAAAAAATAGTAGAGTACTTGGAATGTTAGAATGAATTGTAATCACTCTGTGTTTAATAATAGCAACTACATCGTGTTTCACATTTTAATCTTATAGAAATTGTGTTAACAACTTTTCATTGAATTTCGTTTTCATTCTAAATAGGTAAATCCTCTGATTTATAAACAATCGAATGTAAATGAACTTGATAATAATGAACAAATTTCACTATTTTCACGTTTACTTGAAACTCTTATACGACATGCAATAAAACAGAAGAACGGAGAAACTATTGTTATTGATAAACAATTAACATATAAATCGGGAAGTAAGATATAAATGATGAATTTATAACAACAAAAAAAAAAATGATTTGTTTGCTTTGTTTTTAAATCTTTTTAAAGAAACTCTTTGTGAAGTAATAAAAGATACAGTTATTAAATGGGGTCGAACAACACATATAAATGATCCAAATTTAATTCGAGAAATGTTTAAATTAATTTATAATCAATATGATGGAATTCAACAGGTAAATATATCTTTTTTTTTTTGGAAGATCTTCATTTTTTTCCTATTGGAAAGAAAGGATTTTTTCTGTAATTTTTCTTTATGAAATTTCCTTGCTGCTGCTTCTTTAACCTTATATTTTACAGGTCAATAGAATTTATGAAAAGATTTGAACGTAGATAAAAGGTTCTCATTTATCCATGTTTAAAGTTCCGCTGAACCCACAAGAGCAGCGCTTTAAACGGATTCGCGGATGGTTCAAAACTCTAGAAAAGTGAACACCTATTTTTAGAAACATAACTTCTTAGTTATGGTACAAAATTCAGAAGGGCCAACATGATCTTTGGAGCGACATTGTCCTACGTTGGATAAACTACTATGTCTAGGTGCAGACATCCTATAGGATGCGGATAATGTCGGCTGGAGTTCTTTCGAATTTTTCAACTTAAAACTTACATTCACTATTTTCTTGGAAAATATATGTGGAGTCCTTAAAATGTTAATAGCTTTTGAGTTCTAACTTATTATAAATGATAACTCAATAGGAAATTAAATTTTCTACATCAACAGCATCTACACAGACAGACAAGCGGTAATAACATTGTTTTGATACATTGAAAGTGAGAATTTAAGAAAACAATACTCTAAAACTTGTACACTCGATAAATTAAAGAAGAGTGTGGATTGACTAAACATCCACACTCACACCGTAGTCTTCAAGTTCCATCAATATTCTAGTGAATACTTCAGTTTTCATTGTCTGCTTTTGTATTCCTAATTAAATTTGAATTTTTCATTATTAAAATTTAAACACTTGTCTTTCTCTGTCGAGGAATACGGAGTCCTTATACGACAGTTTTTCTCATATATTACATTCATCTTATCTATTACACATAAAATTGGCCTAAAAACTAAAATAAAATAAATAATTTACACTTACTGTGTATTGCATTGATGCGATAAAATGAAAGAACCATTACCTTTCTCAACTTGTTTCATTATGCATATATCTGCTTTCGCAACAGTTTAACAAAATTGAACATACGTCGATTTCCGATTGTTTCGCTTCATAAATGATCATTAATGATCGTATCTGTTCGACTTGAGTTTATAATAAAATTTCCTATTACTTAATAATATTTATTTTATTTTTCCTATTAGATCTCTCAATGTCTTGAACGAACTTATGTCATAAATGAAAAATCTGTACCTGATATAACATTATTATTACGTAAATTAAGTATAGTACGTGCACTTTTAACTGTTCAAATGGATTCAGATGAAGAAGCAATAATGATATCATGTTTAAAGTAAAATATTTATTTATTTTTTGACAATAAAAAAAAAAAAAAAAAATTAATCTAGTGATATAATGGATAATCGAGTATTTTATCAACATCCTGATTTAATGCGTTCACTTTGTGTACATGAAACAGTTATGGGTGTAATGGTTAATCGTTTAACTAAAAGTAAACAAGAACAAACATCAATGTCATCAATGAATGATATTGATGGTATTATACAAATAAATGAAACTGGAGAAAATCAAGAAATTCATGCTCCTAAAGTAAAACAAAAAGAAAAGTAAAATCAAGATAATTAATTTTTATTTTTATTTTCTCAGGAAGATAAAGTTGAACTTGTAACAACATGTTGTAAATTTTTATCATATTTTTGTCGTACATCACGTCATAATCAACGTGCTATGTTTGAACATTTAAGTTATTTATTAGAAAATAGTTCAATGTTACTTTGTATGAAAAATAAAAATTTTGAAAAATTAATTTTTTTTTGTTTTTGGAAATTTTTTTAGCACGTCCATCACTTCGTGGTTCAGCACCATTAGATGTAGCTTCAGCTAGTGTAATGGATAATAATGAATTAGCATTAGCTTTACGTGAATCACATTTAGAAAAAATTGCTTCTTATTTATCACGTTGTGGTACAACAAGAAATGAAGAATTATATCTTCAAGGTTATCATGATATTGGTTGGGATCCAGTTGATGGTGAACGGTTTGTTGATATTTAAATAAATTTTTTTTTGATTAAAAATTGTTCATTTTGTTTTTGGTTTATTAGATTTCTTGATTTTCTTAAATTTTGTGTTTGGGTTAATAGTAAATTAAATTAATATATGAATATTTTAAATTTAAAATCAATGATCTTTTTTTTGTTTTTGTTTTTTTAAGGTGATACAGTAGAAGAAAATGCTGATTTAGTTGTACGTTTACTTATACGTCGACCAGATTGTTTAGGTCCAGCATTGAGAGGTGAAGGTGGTGGTTTACTTAAAGCAATACGAGAAGGTATTGCACAATCACTTTATATTGCACGACGACAAAATCCAGATGATCCTGTTATACAAGCTGCGTATCAAGAAATAATTGATGATGAAAGTATGCATAATTTAAATGAAGAATAGTAAGTTTGTTTTCTTTTTTCTTAGAAAATGAGGAATCGTTTAAATATATGATGATTTATTGATGAGGGAACTATCTACAAATTATAACCCATCGTTTAAGATCATATTATATCCACAAGGACGTCTTATGAGGGGACTCTACCAAATGATTAAAACCTTTTGAAATGATACTTTGTCCACAGGTAGGATCTGATGAGATTAGAAAAAAACTCAAAAGGATAAGTCCCCATAGGTCTTTCTTCCGAAGCTATGATCGGTTTACTGGGTTTTCGGTGCATCGCAAGGTATTTAGGAAAAACTCGAATGATAAAATTTCGACCTGAAATTTTGTCCTTATGTAGGTCGCATGGTTCTTAGTGTGCGCTAAAAGTTTCAACGAAAACGGATTTTTCAAAAAACGATTTTTCTTATATATTCATTATCTCAAGAAAGAAAGATCCATTTTCGTTGAAATTTTTAGCGCATATTAAGGACAATGAGACCTACATAAAGGGTATTTCATAATAACTGACGATAAATTATTAATAATATTTTTTATACTTTTTTTTGACGGACACAGATGAAATTTTTATAACATATATATCTAATCAAGCTCTATTATTTTTGAAAGTTTCAGTCGTCTAGCTATAACGAGTGGTGAAATACACTGAGTAGACTGAAATACATAAATTTTTCTACTCAACGTTTGTATTATTTTCACTGTCAAAATAAAATGCCAAAAACGAATACGAAAATGTGTCGTGTTCAATCTTGTCGATGTATTTCATCATTACTTATACCTAGAAAGCTGAAACTTTCGGAAATAAAAGATCTTGATAAGATATATATGTAATAAAAATTTCAGCTCTGTCCGGCAAAAATAAAAAATATCATTAATAATTTATCGTCAGTTACTATGAAACACCCTTTATAGGCAAAATTTCAGGTCGAAATTTTGCATTCGACTTTTTCCTGAATATCTTGCCGTGGGCCGAAAACACAGTAAGCTGGTCATAGCTCCGGAAGGACGACCTATGGGGACTTATCATTTTGGGCTTTCTCTAATCTCATCAGATCCTATCTATGAAGAAAATATCACTTGGTAGAGTCCCCTCGTTAGTAAGACTAGAAAAGCCTAAAAGAGTTCGTCGTCATGAGCCTTTGGAAACAAATTATGCTGCTGCATTAAATTTTTGACCCATTCTTAGGTATCTACTGGAAAATCAAATAATGAAATTTCAATCTGAAATTTTGCACATAGATAAGTCTAAAGATCCTTAGAATAACTTAGAAGTTTCAGCCAAAAAGAAGATTCCTTTTTCGAGATATTGATTTTTCAAGTAAACTCGATTTTGTCACATGTTGATGGCAAATAATTATTGTTTGGATATTTAATATCTCGATAAAGGAACATTTTTTCTTGGCTAAAACTTTCAGAATATTTTAAGGATCAATAAACTTATCTATGGGCAAAATATGAAGTCGAAATTCTGATTTTTTTTGTGGTATCTAAAGGTAGATCGAAAATTCAGTAAAACAACCATAACTCTACTCCAAAGACCGATGGGATGAACTATTTTAGACTGTTTTTTAGTCTTACCTAGACCTCTTGGTAGATTTCCTAATCGGCTGGTGTGAGTTTGTGTCGAGTAACATTTGGACAGTGTTTATGATAAAGTATCGATATCGTAATGTGAAACTTATGATAGAATCTCTCTTTCGGAGAATGTAATTTATCTCTTGCAAGATTTTGATATGTTTATATAGAATATATTGATATTCCAAAGAGAAATCTTAATGAACAAATAAGCATACTTTTAGGGATTGTTTTCTTAGGAGAATTATCATAGCAAAAAACTAATTGCCGGCTTAAGTAAATCATGATTTCTCTCTTATAAAAAAACAATGTTTTCAATTTTATCTTAAAACTTAGTTGAATAATCTTGATCATTATTATCTTCTATGTTTCACATGAATTCTCATAGTTCATATACTAAATATTTTTGTAGTAATCATTAGAAATCAATGAATGCTATCGAAGCATAAATATTAAGTCACAAACACCCAGGTCAATAATTCCGGCTGGTAAAAATGATAAAAACTTAACAGCAGAAATTCGATGACCCGAATTTTTCCACATTCGACCATCGGATATCTGCTTCCAAGATTTTTTATCATTATATAAATACATGATTAATTATTTAATATTTATTTTTATTGAGTTCGTTCTTTTCATATAAATATAATTTTAGTGATCATCTACAAGTTCGTTTACCATATGCCGATGATGAAGAATATATTGATTTAGGTGCTGCTGAATTATCATTTTATTCTATATTAGTTGAATTATTAGGACGATGTGCACCATCTGAAGAAACAATTAAAATGGGAAAACAAAATGCTATTCGAGCAAAATCAATTCTTAAAAGTCTTGTTTCAATGCATGATCTTGAAGGTGTTCTTGGTCTAAAATTTCTTTTATCAAGTAAATAAAATATTATTTGTTTTTTTTTTTTTTGAAAATATCAAAATATTTTTCAATAAAAGACGAAAATTCAATGCCACCTGGTCTTCAACCTGCTCATAAAATGTCAATTATACTTTTTCTTGAACGTGTATATGGTATTCCTGATCAAGAAACATTTTTTCGTCTTATTGAAGAAGCATTTCTTCCGGATATTCGTTGTGCTACTATTCTTGATATGGTAATTAATCTTTATATGCTTTTTTTTTTTTGATAATAAAATAAATTTTTGTTTTTTTATTTTCAGGGAACAGTATCTGAAAGTGATATGGCATTAGCATTAAATCGTTATTTATGTACTAATATTATACCATTAATGACATCACATGCACATTATTTTAATAATTGTGATCATCGATCATCACTTCTTCAATCTATATTACAGACTATTTATCGTTTATCAAAATGTCGTTCATTAACTAAAAATCAACTTGATACTATTTGTGGATTTTTACTTGCTTTTGCTAGGTAGATTTTTGAAGAAAAAAGACAAAAAAAAAATAATAAAAGATTATTATTTAATTTAGTCAATTAAAACCATCAATGATGACACCATTATTAAGAAAACTTGTTCATGATGTACCAGAATTGACAGATCAAACTATTGTACCATTAAGAGTATGTTAAATAAGATGAAAATTATGTGTTGTTTTTTTTTTCTTTTTGTAAAACATCATTTTTATTTAGATGCTTACTCAATGGTATGAACAATGCAGTCGATATTATACGATTTCTGCTACAGAAGAAGAAAAACGTTTAACTATGGTGTTATTTCAAAAACTTTTTGATGCACTTGCATCTCGAGTATGTATAGATGATAAGATCTTTGTATTTCTTTTTTATTCAAATCGTATTCAGACAGAGAAAAAAAAAGATAGAAGAGAGTATGAGCTTCAAAATTAGACTAGAAAAATTTGATTTTTCAATCATGATTGATAGAGTTATGCATTAGGGAAAAAAAAGAAATCAAACTTTAGCGAGTGGAGCCTATCGGATGAAAACTTTTTCGAACCTTACTTTAATACTCTCAATGAAATTTTCTGATCGAAATTGGATAGTCACTCCGAAGATACGAGATACTTTTTCCTAGTTTTTTTGCATTCGATGACTAAACCCCCCTCCATAATTGAAGATCCCTCCATATTACAAGACCCTCCCATAATAGAAGACCCTTTTGGAAAAAAATTTTGTCCCACGTA